TGTGCTTCTGGTGTCTTAATACAAATTTTGGACACTCAAGAGTGGTTCATACATCTAAACATTTTGGAACAGCCCATCAACTCATATAGCTCCAGGAGATATTTTTTCTTTTTCAGCCTATTCTCCCTCTGCAAAAGGAATTTGAATGGACCTATACATGGCTCATTGGCTGCTGAGCTAACTATGGAATTTGGATTATTTTAAGAGAGAATTGGACAAATTATTGGCGGATCTGGTCGTCAATGGCCACTAGCCATGATGGCCATGCACTGTCTCCAGTGCTGGAGGCACTATGCCTCTTAATATCAGTTTCTGAGGTTTACAAGTGAGGAGAGTGCTGGTGTGCTTATGTTCTGCTTGTGGGTTTCCCAGTGGACATCTGGAAGGCCTGTGAAAAGAGGATGCTGGACTAGATGGGCCTTTGGTCTGATCCAGCCGGGCTCTGATTCTCATTATTATTGTTATTAATTTGATTTATTTGCCTGCTCTTCAGCTTAGGATCCCAGGGCATGTCACAGTAATTTACGAATACAATATCCGAAACATTTAAAAAACAAATTGCACATATTGTTGTATGTTCTTACTGAGTCTTGGGGGGTGACACAACTCTTATTTAGAATGAAGTGCAAGAGGTGGGGTGGTGGTGGAGTGCACCAAATTTAGGCGTTGCACAGGGCAGTGATGAAATCTGAGACCCCAAGGTCTGTCACGGGTCAGCTGGAACCAGTCAAAATTAAGACTCCAGGAAAAGAATAAATAACCACTTCTTCCATCTCCCCATCAATTCAGATAAACAAAAAATGCTGGTACTTGGCCACAGAAGTAGCAGTGTAGCCCAGCTGTCCATTAACACCAGATCAGAAGTGGCAGGGCTGGCTGTTAGCTCTTGAGGGGACATTCCTTTTTGCCATTTAAAGCAGCTGCTGCATGATAGCTTCCTTAAAAGCATGCGTGCTATTGGACCACATTCTTGTCCCTATGGCTTTGTAAGCCAAGAGTGAGGAATGAGCAGTCACAGTTTAGACTTGTAAGCCAATAAAATAAAAAAATAAAATAAAATGTATCTAAGCAAAAGGTTAGTTTTAGTCATCTAAATGGTCTATCAGTATCAGCTGCATTTTGCAAACTTGACTATCACTGCAACATCAAGGGAACAAGAGAGGAAAATCCTTATTAGAGGCATTCCCTTCAAGGTTATTCTATAGAAAAACTGCTGAAGGGTATGTTCTTTTTATACCGAGATAAACAAACCAATGTTAGGAATGTTTATACTGTACCTGTTGCCAAGAAGAGATGATTATTCTAGTATAGATAAAGCTTGAATTTCACACACACAAAAATTCATTACAGATCTGGAATCTTATCTTTCCAGTCAATAATAAATCAGAGCTTTGCCTGGGGGGGGGGGTGTTAAAAGAACAGCAAAAAAGGGCAACCTTCTCCCTTGAGCTTTGCAGGTAAAAATTTAAGTGACCTAATAAAGCCTGCAACTGGCACAGTATCATTTATTTGGCTGCCCAGGAGCCTCCCTACAAGTGCTTTAAAATGCTGTAATTTTTCCTGTGGGAGTCTTGCCTCCATGGAAACATAATCCAGCTCGACTTCAAGCATTTTTCTCACTGCACAAGAACCCACCCACTTACCTGATTTTAATGGTGCCAGTTACTTTTGGAACAAATGTATTGTTGACTAATACACTTATTTGATCCAGAGGTTTTATTTGCTTTGGCTTTCCATGACTGTTTTTGAATCACATTTTCATATTTCTTGATCCGGCACAAGGGGAATTTAATGAGGACCAAACGAAGATCAGCAATCAGATTGCATCCATCATCCTTTGACTGGTGTATTACTAAGCAGAGTAAATTGTAATGATGACATTGCATCTAATAAAGATGTGCAAGCCTGGCATTTGAGAAGATGGAAATACAGTTGTAAAGTGGACAATTAAAACTGTATGCACAGAGGACTCTTCTTCATGAATTCAGATGCCCTGTTTTTGAATGCATTGAGAAGAGCCAACCACAAATACAGACATACACACTGAAGGTTTTTTTAAGATAATACAATGAGTAAGCACATGTCAGAGGCGAGCTTCCCCCAACCCCATCCCCCAGAACAGGCTGCTCTCCACAAGCCGTGGGAGGGCTCCCGTGGCTTGCGCAGAGCTACCTGAAGCCCGGGCGCGACTGCTCAGCGTGCCCGGGCTTCAGGAAAGAGGCAGCTCTGCGCAAGCCGTGGGAGCCCCGTGGGAACTCCCGCGGGCTCCCGAGGCTTGCGGATAGCTTCCTGAAGCCTGGAGAGCGAGAGGGGTCAGTGCGCACTGACCCCTCTCGCTCTCCAGGCTTCAGTGAAAACCTGCATTCGCCCCATAGGACACACACACATTTCCCCTTCATTTTTGGAGGGGAAAAAGTGCGTCCTATAGGGAAAAAAATACGGTAGCTTGTATTGTACAGCTGAATTTTGTGTACATGTGCAGCAGTCAATCTCTCAGCATTCAACTCATATATGTTTGAATTGATATGAACACTATGTGAGTTTGAGGTTGTAGTTGTCAATGGATTAGCTTTCCCTTAGATGTGCTTGTGCAAGGAAATCATGTTGACATCAGAAAAGGTTCACCACTCCAACTAGAATCTCCCTACCTCTCAAAGGGTGCTAGAACTTCTGTTGATCATATTTATATGTTCTTCTAATTTGCAATATGCTTCACTATCTTTAGTAGCCAAACGAGATCAATAGAGGCTTTTGTGCATGGAAAGTGCTTCCATGAGTACACCTAAAATGGAGACAGCCAATTTTTCATTTTAGCAGCAGGTATTTGCACCACATGGGGGGATGCTGCTTTTTTTGGTGGGAGACTTTTCAGGGGGTATGAGGAACAGCTGCCCAGAAGGGAAAATCAAGTGTGGCACTTTGGATCCCAGTCCTTGTGTCCATCTTCATAACAGCAGTCTTGCATGGCGGACCTCCAGCTTATTCCATTGTAGTCTGAGGACTACTTCACAGGTTCCATGTTTATTTGTTGGTCTTTGAGGGTCACAGATCAAAGTTCAATTTCTATCTGCTTAAATCACACCACCAAAATGAAGGCTGAAGGTTCAGTTGGGATCAGGGGTGGGGTGGGAAGTGTTAGATATGCAAATAATAAAATAAAATCCATGATTAGTGTGGAATATAGATTTTGATCAACTCTAAAATATTCGTGGTGGGTTTTTCTTCTTCTTGAAGGTCACATCCTACCTCTTGCTACATCATGAAAATTCACACTGATTTTATATTCTATCAGCCCTTTTCTCATTCTGCTTCCGCTGGCTGATCAATTATAACTGCTGATTTCTCTTACAATCCTAGTAATTTGAATAAGGCTTGAATTTGAAGAGCTATTGAAATCTTCCATACATCTGGGCTTTATTATATTATACTTCCATAATGAAGCTATTTTAACAACTTTTCTGAGTCATTGTAATGTTCTCTTCATATTGAAATGAGGTTGTATTGCATGAAACAGATGCCTAGCACACCACAGCTAATTATGTTTGCTTGGAAGTAAATTTTGTTGTTTTAAAAGGTATCTTGTCTCAGAAGAGACAGTGTGATGTAGTGGTTAGATTGTTGAAGTAGGATTCAGGAGACCCAGATCCCGATCCCAATTTTGTCATAAAGCTCTCTGGATTATCTTGGACCAGTCACTGTATCACAGAGTTGTTGTGAGGATAAGCTGGGAGAGCGCCACATATACCATATTGAGGTCCTTAGACAAAACGAATAATTTGAAGTAGGTATCTGAAGTATCATGGTCTCAATTTTTATTAAACCCAAATAGATAAATCTTAGTTGGTAATAATTATTGTGATAATCAATATTTAAAAAGGCAAGGGAGAGGAAGAGTAAAAATGATACATAGGTTACCAGGACTGATCCTGGAGAGGCATGAAACAGCTGTCCACTGCTATTTTTTAAAAAACATATTTTTTTACTTTTAAAGAAATGGAGCCAAATTTTTTTATTTCATAAAAGGTATATATTCCCTTCAAAAACAAAATCAGCAAATGTGCTGTCTTCAGGTGCTGGGTAGCCAGACTCCTTGGTTTTCTGCACTTGAATTAAAGCTCAGGGAAAACATTATATGATAATTCCTGCCAATGGGGTTTTTTTTGGATCAGGAAGCAAGAGCAACCAGGGAGGCTGCAGAGAGGTGTATAAATGTTTAATGGAAAGAAAGAGACGCCCAGCACATCAGGTGGCTGAATGTGGGGTATATATTTTTCTAGCTTCTTTGCAAGAAACAGAAGCTTATTTCACAGGAGAAGAAAACTTTTGCGAAATTTAGTAACTAGTTTCGTCACAGCACTAAGTCTTTGCCATACAAGGAGCAGATGTCTAGTTTTGGCATCAGTGAGTAAACACCGAGCAACAGGCTGGTTGCCAAAACTATTTACTGGCAGATGGTAAGAGGCTCTAAGTTGGCATCTAAGGAAACAGCTTATTGCAATCTTCTCATCACAGCCAATGATTGAAAATTAGAGGAGGAAATCCTTTGGGACTTTCCAGCAGTTACACATTGGCCTCTTGCCGAGAGCCTTTTTTTACAGTAATCATTCCAATGACGGTGTGTGTGTGAGAGAGAATATGGTCTTTAAAAGGAAAGATAGCACAATGTTCTGCTCAATTAAACAACTACTGTCCATGGGACTGCAGAAGAGCTTCAGGTACAGGGCAGTAAAGTCTGGTGCATGAATTCCAACATCTTCCCATTAGCGTAGGCCTCATTCTGTTAGGCTGCAGTAGTATGGTAGTCTCACACACAAACGCACGCAAAAGTTTTGCCCTGTCCCATCCTCTTGGAATTTGTAATCAGGCTTTGCTCCAAAAGCCCTTTTTATAGAGAACACAGGAAGCTGCTTTAGAATGGATCAGACCATTGGTTCATCTAGCTCAGTATTGTCTGCACCGAATGACAGCGACTTTCCAGACTCAATATTCCCAGTCCCACCTGGAGATGACAGGGACTGAACCTTGGGCTTTCTGCTTACAAAGCAGATGCTTTGCCCCAGAGCTATGGCACTTCCATAGCAATAGGTCATACCCCTGCCCGTACGGGTCAGTCGTGTCCGACTCTGGGGTTGCGCGCCCATCTCGCTTAAGAGGCCGGGGGCCAGCGCTTTCCGAAGACACTTCCGGGTCACATGGCCAGCGTGACAAGCTGCATCTGGCGAGCCAGCGCAGCACACGGAAACGCCGCAATAGGTCATACGGAAGTATAATTTATTACTGTGTGGAGCAGAGCTCTTCAGTTTGGGCACCCATATTTTGGATGAATTGAAGTAGGAGGAACTCCCTAAATCCACCTCCCTAAATCCACCAGCGTCAACCTGATGATCAAAACACATCTATGTGTTTTGAAACTGCAATGCTGGGGGAGAGGTGTAACCATTTCCCCACTGTTTTACGTTTTGCTTATTGTTCATTCTTCAGCCCAAATGAAACATGTTTCAACTTGTGTGGGAGAATCACAGGTAACCACTGCCAAAATAACCTAACCTGAAATCACTCTGAGCAGGAGGAAGAATTTAATTCATCCAAGTAATGGCAAGTACCCCCTGATGCTGCTTCAGGCAGAAGAGAAGAGGTTCCAAAGACTTCCATATACTGCAGCAGCAGATTGTTCATTTGTTTAAAACACTTATATTCTGCCTTTTACCCCTGAAAGGCGTTCAAAGTGGTGAATGAAAGATTGTCATAACAAAAATCACACTCAAGGCTGCTATCAGTGACAGAAATAGCATGGTGTCCCTGTAGTACCAGAATCATTCAGCTGACATGTCCTGCCCTCATCCTTGGTATTGTCCTTCAGCATTTGCCTACTAGGTAGCAGAGGCTGCTGGTAACCTCTGAGGCCAAGAGAGTGGGGCAGAGGAGCTGGATCTTGTTGAGCCCATAGCAGAGGCAACCCTTCCCTTGCCATTGTTATGTTTTTAATTGTCTTGAATTGCACAAAGCCTAGAGAACATATTTTCTGAAGCATGAATATCATGCATTAACAAATAAAATTTCCCAGTTGAAATCACATGCACACACACCACAGGGCAAGTCTATGGGACAAAAAGCAGCTTTCAGAGGGTGGTTTTCATCTGGAAGCTGGCATAGGGGGAAAGGGCTAAACCCCCTTTCTCAGTGGCATGGTCTCATACTGAGTTCCTGAGGTGATCTCCTGTGGCTGCCTTGATCTTCTAAAGAAACTGCAGGGCACCCTGTTCAAGCATCACCCACATCACTTCTATTTTGGCCCAAGGCATGTGGCTCACTAATTGCTCTATTAGCGTGGAGTGTTACCTATTGACTGTGCTTGCTGCTTTATTGGTTTTACAGCTTTTATTGTTTATTGTTAATAAAGCTTTGAAATAAGTATAAAGACAAACATGTGTCCCAACTAAGCACTACATAGCAGTTTTCAAGAAAACGTACTTTAAAGTTAGCCTAGCAACAGCGGACATAGAAAACAGCCCCCATTGTCTGACAGGACTGTGACGTCATTGCTCTCTTTCTCCAGTTACGACTTCTACATGTGCACTTTATTCTATTGGGGTTTTGGTCATTTGTTGTTAACCTTTTGTCACTTGTTCACAACACCCTGGGAGGCCTGAAAGTAAGTTGAAGTCCTTTAAATGGCATGAAGATGGAGACCCCGTTTTTTCAGCTGCTGTTACTGAGTTTCTGGAGTTCAGTGTGTTTTTCCTGTCTTTCTTGGTTAATCTGCTGCCATGTTTTGTAGACTATTAAGGTATTGACATATCAGAACTTTTGAGGATGGAGAGACAGCAGTTCTTATTTTGCTAGAACATTGGCTCAGCCATTGAGGACCTCTCTCTTTCTCTCTTGCTCACCTCTGGAGGGGAGGGGAGTGATGTGGTATCATAATAGTGTGATGTCATAATCCTGCCAGCCAGTCGGTTTTGTTCCCCATCCTCTCTGGCACTGCAGTATTCAGGTAACTTTAAAGTAGTTTTTAATGAAAACTATAAAAGCTACAGCTACAATTCTTCTTTCTATAGGGGAAAAAATGACCAAGTAACAGTTGACAGTATACTGAATTCTGAAAATTAGGCGCAATCTCCATTGTCTGGTTGTAGTTAGCTCCAATTTCCTGATGCAACATATTCCTTATAGTTCTTGTAATAGTAGGAAAACATTTAGAACAAAATAAGTTTTGGCTTTTATATTCTCTTTGTATCCGAAATGACTGTAAACTTGTAGCTGAGCAGAATTTATTAATCTGAGTCTCTTAAGTGCAACATTGCCACGTTTAATAGTTTGTATTTGTAGCCTTACACATATTTCCACTTCTTTGTATGCTTCAGATTCAGCATGCAGTTTTCATATTCTGTTGTGTATTTTGGAATGCATATTATCTCACTAATAGCCATTGTAGTGTTTCTTTTTAACCCAGGCCTATAATAATGAGAATCTGTTCACTTCTTTTGATGGCTCATGTGAAATAATTGTCAACGAAGTAGAGTTGGAATCATTTGTTATTCCACTTAATACAGCCTTGCATTGGCTAACATGTATCCCAGCAACGCTGGCAATATAAATGAGGATGTAAGGAGGGACTAACCCCCCCCCACTGCTTCTTGAATTTGCATAATATGTAGATTCTGTGCAGAGAGTTAGAATATTTTACAACTCTATACCCAAGGATTAAAAAAATCACACAATCTATTATGATTTGGTGTTTGTTACACCATCAATAAACCACCCTCTACTGTCAGACCATGATATGTCATGATGATCTATAAACGCTTACCCATGTATGACCTGCCTTAGTGCCATCTTACAGGGAAAACATCATTTTATTTAAAAAATGGATGATGCCACTATTACTGCAACCTTTTTAGGAAAGCCCATACTTTTATGGATCCTGAAATCAAGTACATTTTTAAGGCAAGTGGTATTGAAATATCAGCTTCCCATAAATATCAGCTGAATTATTATTTTTTACAGAATGTTTTATTCAAATGCTGTATTTTAGATTCAAGTACAATAAGGTTGGCTTTAAAAAAAACCCAAAACCCACATGAATAGTTTTTGTTTTTTTTAAAAAAAGACTCAAAGTCTTGTAGCTAAATCCATTTCATGAGAATTTGATTGAACCACCAATGCACCAGGAATTAGGTGCAGTAATGTTCTGTACCCAAAGTACACAAAAACAGTCACATACCAATAAATCAGTAATTTCCCCTCTATGAGAAAGTCAAGAAGCCCCATCTATTTCCTCCACTGGCAGTCTACAAACATTTTGCCATGCATTAGGAGATCACTAACCTGCTAGAAAGCAGAGTGAAAATAATGAGGAGTTAGGGTAAATCCACATGCTATGTTAATTACATGGGTAGAACCACTTAAGTCCATCCACGTTCTCCCATTCACACGCAACCATATGCCTCCCTACATACGCACAGTTGTTTAAATCTCCCTTCTCCTTATCTCTCTCTCCTTTCTTCCTCCCTTCTCTTTCCCTCCTAATGAGGCAATTAGGCTTAGAAAAATAGCCACATTCACACAAATGGAACTTTTTAAAAAAATACTAAGCTTAATTGCTACATGGACATGCACACATTTGTTTGTTTGTGTGCTTGCAGTTCATGGAAAGGGAAGGGTTAAGCATCCCTACCCATTGGCCACCTCCCCCCCCCCCCAAAAAAACCCCACTCTCCCGTGCTGCAATTAGTCTTCAGTTGCTGTGTGAAGGGGTGGGATGATAATGGAAGTCAGATTCAAAAGCCTATGGGCTGGAGATTCCCCATGCTTGGCCAAGGGGGTGTGGCACTACCATCTCAAGAGAAAGTGTTGGCAGGAATGGCAAATGCTTTGTTATATCTTTCTACCAACATATTTGGTGTCCTTTGTTGTCTCTTGTTTTTGACTTTGTTTTTTAAGACAGCAGAAAATTGGGGGGGGGGGTCCTGCTTCTCTTTTTTACTTCCATTCTTTATTCCTTCCTACATATAAATTACACTACTTCATAGGAATCTATGAGAACATCCCAATGTACAGAGCTTGCCTTTGCATAAACCGCATTAACTGAGTAGAATATTGTGAACAGGGACTGTAAATGAAAAAATATGACACGTTCAGATCTGTTTCTTTTGTTCTGTGTGTGCCAGGGTTTGTTGGCAAGTCCCATTATGTTTCTACAGCATTATGGACTGCACTTTTATATGCTTTCTCATTGAACTTTGAATGTACACTCTTTGTTTATTTTAAATGTCGTAAAGGGGGAAAAGGCCACTGAATATGAATGTAATATAGCTTATCCTGGACCTACAAAACTGTCATGAGCCCTACAGCACTGTCAGGATTGGTCTGGAGTGGCAGGCTCTGACAAAGGTGGAAGAAGCATTGTGGAGACGGGTAGCTGAACTGGGGAAACAGGGGAATCTCCCTTATCTACTCGGATTTCAATCACTTTAGAAGGGGAGAGCAGAGATGCCTGCTCTTGCCTTCAATGTTCTTGTGGAGTTGGAAGCCTGTGTGGAGACTGAGGAAGGCGTTGATCAACTGTGGGGGAGGCTGAACAGGAGGGTGCAGTGGCTAAACAAGAACCTGAGCAGGAGGTATCACCTTCACAGATGGGAGCAGACTCGCCTGCCCCAAAGTAGTGTGTGCTTGCAATCCCAGTATTTCCACAAGCTGAAAGAGTCTCGTGAGTGAGTACGTCACGCCTCAACTTTTAAGGCTTGGCAAGAGTGGTAGGGAAACTTGTTGGGACATCTTCGTTGCTTCCTTCCAGTTCTGAACTTCTTGCCCAACTCCTGAATCATCATGACTCCTGAGCAATGTGTCTGCTGCTGAGCCTGTACTGTTACCTGGCTCAGTAAGTGTGTGTGTTTGTGTGTTGGGTAGGAGTCAGGACAATAAGATAAATTTCCATAGTATTTAATATAGTTTATTGTAAAATGATCTAATTGTATAACATACAAGTGCAAGAATTACAAACGTACAGTATATGCAAACTTAAATGCAATAAAATTTGGATTGAGGATCATCTGTTATATTGCTGGTATCACTG